GGCACCAACCATGTAAATCTAGGTCAACCCATAGTAACGTCACGTCCTCACACCGAGAACTCCAGTAGTTACAGCAAAACAAAGAGCTCACTAATGAGCATAATAAAAAATTATCGACTTTCATATCACACAAAGAAATAGCAGATACTGCTTTGTGATCATGATGGTGACCATACAGCTTGTCCAGTCGACATCAGCCGTCATCTTTGGAATCCCAATGTAGTAAGTTTGTCTGTCAGCAGTCGACATCAGCCATCATCTTTGGAATCCCAGTGTTGTAAATTTGTCTGTCAGCAGTCGACATCAGCCGTCACCTTTGGAATCCCAGTGTTGTAAGTTTGTCAGCAGTCGACATCAGCTGTCATCTTTGGAATCCCAGTGTTGTAAATTTGTCTGTCAGCAGTCGACATCAGCCATCATCTTTGGAATCCCAGTGTTGTAAATTTGTCTGTCAGCAGTCGACATCAGCCGTCATCTTTGGAAACCCAGTGTTGTAAATTTGTCTGTCAGCAGTCGACATCAGCCATCACCTTTGGAAACCCAGTGTTGTAAATTTGTCTGTCAGCAGTCGACATCAGCCGTCATCTTTGGAAACCCAGTGTTGTAAATTTGTCTGTCAGCAGTCGACATCAGCCGTCATCTTTGGAAACCCAGTGTTGTAAATTTGTCTGTCAGCAGTCGACATCAGCCGTCATCTTTGGAAACCCAGTGTTGTAAATTTGTCTGTCAGCAGTCGACATCAGCCGTCATCTTTGGAAACCCAGTGTTGTAAATTTGTCTGTCAGCAGTCGACATCAGCCGTCATCTTTGGAAACCCAGTGTTGTAAATTTGTCTGTCAGCAGTCGACATCAGCCGTCATCTTTGGAAACCCTGTGTTGTAAATTTGTCTGTCAGCAGTCGACATCTATCACAGAATTCATAAAATTCGTAGCACTCTTTTGCATACCCAATCAACTGCGATATAAATACACATCATAGGTAAGGGGAGCAGCTACTATCAAGGAAGGGAAAGTTCACGATAGGAAAGTTGAAATCGTCCTGCTTTTAATACAGCTTAATAGTAAGCCGTCCCTGGTGGTGATGTTGTAAGTAAAGACCGACCGCTGTTGAGGAAAGTGGCTAAAGTAGATTTTTTGATTTCAAACTCAGGAGGGTAAATACCATCGATGTGGTTAATAAATTTCTAATTGTTTAAAGACAGCACATGGTCGATACATCTAAATGTGTTATTGAAGGACTTGGCTAGGTTTTTATTACTAGTCCTGATAAGCTCATCAATAAATTTAGCCCAATGCAAAAACAACAAATGAGCCCGAATAGGTGCACAATTTGTTCCCATAGGAATGCCTAGTCTGCTGGAAAATATTGACATCGAACTCAACAAAGTTATTGTCAACCAGAAACTCATTTTTATAATTTCATCCTCAGTATATTTCATTTTGGCCTTTGTTGTGCTTTTTACAAAATATGCTCCAAAATAATTTAGAACCATATATCTACATTGCCCGTCGACTTGTTTGGAAAAGAAAAATATCATAATGAGAGTAGGAAGGCATTCCTTTAGTTCAGTATGAGGTGTGGTATTGTAAAGGGTCGAAAAGCCGAAATAACATTGATAGAAGAACTATATTTCAGACGAGGAAGTTCAAGATTTATCAAAAGATCTTCTGATTTCTTTTAACATCCGCATTCTTCTCGAATATACAGTGTTACAATACGACTGTGTCCCTGATTTAATGGTACTAAGAAGTTTGGATAATGACTATTTGTTGTGCAATTAGAAGACCCAGTCTTTATAAGGATTCTTGTAAGGTTTCGGAATCTAATACAAAGGAGGCAGGTCCATATCTTTATCATTAGTGGGTATTTGCAAGCCGAGTTCTTTTTACAAGCAGGCAATGTAACCGTATTTGCAGACAAAATTTAAATTGTGAGATGCAGTTTCAACTACATACATATTACATTAATCGTTGAGTGTGGTTTGGACATCTGGGTCAAGAATTACAGACATTGTTTTTGGTTTGGATTTCAAGCAGCTAGTTCTTTTTAAATGATGGACCTGATATGTAAGTCACTGTTGTTTTGTGCCGGTAAACATTGCTAATCCATCAGACTATCGCTCACAAATATTTGCTAAAATGCTACAGTTACAAGAGGCTAAGAGGACAATTGTATTGGTCACCTTGACCTTTAAGTGACCATAGAAACAGTGTAAGAATCTATCACACCTGTTGGATGTAGACAGAGAAATCTCAACCTAACAGTAAGATTGTTTTAACTTTAGCACAAGGCCACATGTTGAACTTCAAATTTTTTATTCTATCTTCAATTTGTTTATTCTATCTTCAATTTGTTTATTCTATCTTCAATTTGTTTATTCTATCTTCAATTTGTTTATTCCAATTTCTTCGTCATTGTTACACGGGAGTGATCGGTTATTTTTTTGCTAACACTATAAGTTATAATGGTGAACTAGTGCACAGCACCGTCATCTTTGGTGCATGAAAAGTGTGACAAAATTGATAAGGTTACCCTGGCTACGCTGATTTAAATGATGATGCAATGGTGTCATTTTCTCTAGGTAGTCAAAGACAGGTTTATCTTTTTCCAAATCAAAAATAGGAATGCACCTGTGAGGCGAGGGAGAAGCAATTTTCTCCCACCCTTCACAGGTGTGTCTCCCGTTTTAGCCGGGAAAGATCAGCTTTTCTCCCACCCTTCACAGGTGTGTCTCCCGTTTTAGCAGGGAAAGATCAGCTTGTCACCCCCTAGGGATATGTATTCTTTCAAATTTTACAAGTGAAGATGTATTTTTTTCTATTATGCTGTTTTCTTTTCAAGGCTGATGACATACGATATAATGGCACACTACAGTCTTAAAGGGAGAAAGGGGAAAAAAACTTTTCAAACCCTGAAACTGTTTCAGGTCATAGTGGGTATGTATATGGAAAAAAAGTATTCCAATGTCATAAACAAATACCGTTTTGCATATTACTCAAGTATATTACTCCAGTATTGTTTTGTTTTTATTCAAACCATTAAATTTGGACTTTATCAAAGATAAATTGCAAAAATATACAATATATGACAGCCTTGCTTTTTGAAAGATAACAAATTTCTTTATATGAAAACGTTCCCCAAACTTTCATTTGCAACGTTATTGCAACCTAAATGCAACGTTGCATTCTGACATAACTACAACGTTCTCCAGACGTTGTGTGTCCACTGGGTTAGCACGTGTTCAATTGTGACGTCATTAAAATGCGTCATCGGTAATTGTGATGTCATCAAAAGTGAATGTAGATATGCAAACCCTATATGTGTTTTTGTTTACAAACATGGCAGAATACTGTCGGTGGAGCTGTGACTGAAACAAGAGGCCCAGAGGGCCTGTATCGCTCACCTGGATATCTAAGCAATCATGGCAAAACATTCTCCAAATGAGATCCAAGGGAATATGCCAGACCCTAATGCCAATTCTTGTAGTATGTCTGTATTAGATTTTTCATGCCCAGCAATTTAATGTATGGTTATGAGGTGGGGATCTCAACTGTTTCAAAGCTGTGACTCAGAAACTAGGTCCCTAGGGTTGTGGACAGACCCCAGGATCAATTCTAATATCATGACTGCATTTGTCTCTTTTTGCCTAGCATTTGTATATATAGTTTTGGAGTGGGGATCTCAACCGTTTCAAAGTTATGACCAAGGGGTTAAGTCTCCAAGGGTGGGGACAAACCCTGGGATCAATTCTAATATCATGACTGCATTAGTCTCTTTTGGCCACACAATTGTATATCTAGTTTTGGGGTGGGGATCTTAACCAGTTATGACCCAGGGGTTAAATCTCTAAGGATGGGGCAAGTTTTGGAGTGGGGATCTCAACATATGTGCATTCATCTCTTTATACTCAGCAATTGTATATTTAGTTATAGGGTGGGGATCTCAACTGTTTCCAAGCTGTGACTAAGAAACTAGGTCCCTAGGGGTTCGGTCAGACCCCAGGGTCTATTCTAATATAATGACTGCATTCGTTTCTTTATGCCCAGCATTTGTATATATAGTTTTGGGGTGGGGATCTCAACCGTTTTAAAGTTATGGCCTAGGGTCGTTTGTAGCAATATAGCAAAATTGTCCCCCTTTGGCCCCGCCTTCAGCTCCCTGGGGAGTCAGCCCAACCCTTTGTACAATTTTGAATCTCCACCACCTAGGGATACTTTCTGTCAAATATGGTTGATATATATCTCTTAGTTCCAGAGAAGAAGTCGCTTAAAGCAATATAGCCAAATAACCCTTTTTGGCCCCGCCCCTCAGCCCCCTGGGGGGTCAGACCCACCATTGGTACAATTTTGAATCCCCACCACCTAGGGATGCTTCCAGTCAAATTTAGTTAAATTCCAATCAGTGGTTGAGAAGAAGAAGTCATTTAAAGAAATTGTTGACGGACGGACGACGGACGCCACGCATTAGCTCACCTTGGTCCTTCAGACCAGGTAAGCTAATAATAGGATGGGAGAAAAATAACCATCCCCTACCTTGAGGGTGTATCAGAGAAATCTCCAACCCTCGGGGTGGTTTTTTTGGTTGTCTAATCCTCGGTAGAGCCTCGGGTTAGACAACCAAAAAACATCACCCCTCGGGTTGGAGATGTCTCTGTTACACCCTCAAGGTAGGGGAAGATTCTATTAGTCTTTTGCAGGAATGTTAATTTGAAAGGAGAAAATAACCAAATATAATTTATTTTTTATTTTTCAACAATTATAAAACAAGTTTTCTAACTGATATTTATTACTCTTGTTGACTGGAATAGGAGTGCTTAAGAGGGTCTTCATGTGGGAGGAAACTGGAGTACCTGGAGAAAACCCATGTGATTGGGCAGGTGACCCCATACCTTTTCCGATCTGCAAATTGAACCCCGGCTGCCTTGGTGGAAGGCGAGTGAGTTAACCACTGCGTCACATGACCACCCTAAAAATAACCACAAAATAGACAACAAATACTGGACATTGAAATAAAATTTATTTTATCAGACTGGTACATTTTTATCAATAATCGTTTCATCACAATCAAGTGTGATAATAATCAGTGTGATAATAATAATAATAATAGTTATAATGCATTAATACATTAAATGGCATATGTGTGTATCGTGTGCATGATTTAGTTAAGAAACTGTCGCAATATTTTGACTCTGTGCATGACTATAGGCAGTACATCCGACACAGGTTTGAACAGGATGATAAGGTGAGATAGATATATATACATACACTACACATAGCTTAGATATGTAAGTACCATCGACATCTGTATAAACATCAAGTACTGGACACAAGTGCTTAGCATTGGCAGGTACACATTTTTTTTTTGTATTGGTGAATTTTCAATGGAAAGTACAGGGCAATATATCCACAAAATAACCAACACTTTCCAATTTGCCAATGTTATAGCGCTATTAACTCATTCACCCCTATATATTTAAACTGGACTTTGATTTGGTATCGTTCAAATGTGATTTTAGGGTGAATGGGGTGCAGGTTTCCATTGTAAATGGGTGTTCATTGTGCACGACAAGATTTAAACACTCTTAATCTAACAGATGACCATGAACATGAAGCATAGAGAGTCTATATTGCTCAAATGGATATTTAAGCAATCATGGAAAAATATTCTCAATAATAGTAATATTGCAAGTATTATCATTTTTTGGGGGCTCAGCAGCAAGAAAGAAAACACTCTTGATTTACATTAACTTTTGATTCCCAGGGACCAATAATGCTTCATGGCAAATTTGAGATTCAATCTCTTGTGTTTCCATGTTATGATCATGGCGTCCTGGGGATGGGACCAGACCCCTGAGCAAATATTGGTAGCATGAATGTGTTTGTCTCTTCATGCCCAGCAAGCACATGTATGGTTATTGAATGCAGATCTCAACCATTTGCAAGTTATGACAAAAGGACTTCTGTGACCTAGAAAGTAGGTCAATGTCATTTATATTAAGAAACTGTATAGCCTGGGCCTTGTCGCAATCGAGAAGATGTTTAATATCATGCCTCTTCACTTTCTAGTTCCTAAGATAATATTTTAAGCTTGCAGGCAATTTGTGCCAGGTGAGCTAAAAATTGTCAATCAGAATGGAAGATTGTTGCTTAAAAATGTTTACGCATAAGAACGACTTTACCCTAGGCACAAAATGGACCTCTTTATAATTACAATGATTTTATCTGAAGAAAAATTGTGTGAGCAGATTGTTTGCAATAAAATAACTTTCAGGAATTACTATCGGATCAACAATTGGCCTAATTATATGGCACTTTTATTTCGTTTCTTCCTCAGAATTATTGAGGCCTAAATATGACGTTGCACTGTATATGAATAACAACATATGGACATTTTAACTCATTCACCCCTGAAATTTCACAAAGAACTATTCCAACTTTTGAATTGGAAGAGTTCAAATGTGTCTTCAGGGGTCTATGGTCAGTTTATGATTGGACAGACTGAGCACAATAATCAGGGTAACAAATACAAGGATTTTGTGCATTTAGCACATCATCGTTTAAAAAAAAAATACAAACACTTCATGAGTTGTCCAACAAATTTTCATCAAACCAAAAAGGTTGATTAAAAACGGGTTTGTAATGTCTGCATATATGAAGCTCTCTGTAGGAAAAGCACGGAATTATTTGAGTCACCTGTGTCTTTCTAAGTATAAAATGTCTGTGTACTACTTACTGTTTGTTGTTTGTTTCTATTCTAATGAGTGGATAGCAATTAAACAGTCCAGTTAGTAAAATAAACATGTATTCTATCGTTATCGTGGAATGTTCAGCAGGTGGCTAGTCCTATTTGCACATCATCTATTAAATACAAATGTAATAATTTCTAGCTTTATCTAATCACACATACAATTATTACCGAATAAAGGTTTCTATTTATTGTTTGTATAACGAAATATAAAACTGCAATGTTGACTCGCAGAAGAAGTTTTTCAGTATATATTCCAAGCATATATTTTTTCCAAAAACAAATTCATCATGTGCACGATTCCTGTAAATGGAATTGTGTGATCTCCATCCCTATCATCAGGTTAAAAAACAAAGAGTACGTATATAAAATATATTATCAAACACCCAACAAATTAGCTCAAAATCATAACAGAGCAATTACAACAGATTTTCGGCATTGGTAATTAGTTAGGTTTACGTCATCCAGTGATAAATATGTAAAGGGTACAAGTATATATGCAGTTCTTAGCTAGAGAGACATTTACATAATCATCAAAATACTTATCACATCATTTTCACTTCAATAAGCATTTCCCCCCTATATGTTTGTATGCACACAGCAACAGCACTGGTAAATTATCACGATAGCCTCGATTGTTAAAAAAAAAACACAAAAAAATAAGCACAGTGACATGATCACGATAACATAACCCTTTTAATTATCCGGAGCTGTTGTCTGTACAGTCTCCCGCTCTCAATTATTTACAGCACATGATAATTTTCTTATTTGTTTTCATTACGAACACAATTCCATATATTTCTACGTTTCTAACCTTCTGTTCACTGACAATGAACATATCAAAACGTAACAAAGAGTACACGTGTACTACATAAGGGTTACTGTTTTTTGTTAATTTCTAATCATAGAATGGCGAGTATTTTTGATATTTTTCTGAAATAAATAAAATTTCAATTCAGATTCATTTTACATGCCTATGGTTGCTAAAAATTAGACTGAGATGAAGAATTAACTTAGAAATCTATCCCGTACAAACATATACAAATAGCTATTGTATCACAGATCTTGCAAATATCAATATTATCTACGTCTTCATAACTTCCTAGGCTACTTTTGAATGAGTTGTTCCCCTTTTCTTGTGCTACCTTTGAATAGAGTTGTTCCCCCTTTCTTTGTGCTTTTTTTTAAATGATGTTTTGTTTATGACCCTTCACAGTGCAGCTGATATAACTTATTTATTTTCACACAGAGAAAATACTCGGAACATATACTATCCTTTAAATTCTATAAATTGAATTGGGTAAATTTGAGATTTTTTTACTTAAAGGTAGGGACTGTGCTTTTGCATAATGAAAATAGGGGCCTAGAAATATGTGTATATGTTTAATCCAATTTTATCTTTAAAGTTGGTGCCTGATTTAGCACTTTCGTTTCACGGTTCTTCTTATATTTGTCCAAAAATACTTGACAACGAATGCAAAGATTTTTTTTAAAACACACAGATTTTTCAAGCATGTCACCTATATTAATTAAATAAGCCAAATGTTAAAGGATTACGTGATGTGGCTTCAGAAGGAAGGTGACCTAAAAATCTATTGATGATAAACACCATGTGAAAAAACTCTTTCTGGTTTCAGAGTAATTTTCAATATCTAGTCAATGAATGAAACTTGTAGATATTTTATCAGATAGTCTGATCAATACTAATATGATGGTGGGCTAAAAAAACAGAGCAACGCCATTAACGTGATATAGACTTTTTCTAAATTTCTCAACTCAGTTAGTCATGTTAACATATTCACATAAAAGATGGCCACATAACATAACCAAAGCACAAAAATCCTAACACAGTATTTTCTTCGAGTGAAGATTGTAAAAGACAGAGATTTTGAGAACCAAACAAATAAACATCTACATATCAAGTGTACGGTACAAACTCTAACAAACCCATAAATGATACACAATAATAAACAAAGGGAGACAATCCCGATAACTAAGGGAGACAACACTTGACAACATTGTTTACTTTTGAGTCTCAGCACCTCACAGTGGTTGTCCCCTAGTGACAAAACACAAACTTAATTGCTTTGTAGTTTTAACTGATATTCCACTACAGATAAAAAGCTTGGTGCATAAGTCTTTTTCTGGTTCACTTTGTAGACATAAAAGTCATGACATGCGAAGACAAAACATAACTTCTCCTTTAATGCAGAAATTGATCCTAAGAACAATCCCATATTCTCTCAAATGATCAATTTCATTCCTTAATTGTTCCTAAAAAGAAGTCTGTCTTATCATGTCAGAAAAACCAAATTTCTAAATCAACAATTCCGTTCAACAGATTCCTGAATCCACACTCTTGCTGACAGAAAGTCCGAAGAATTTCTAAGAACACAATTAATTGTGGTTCCAGCCCATCACGAGTCCAACACCACACTAGTCCCGTCGTCGTTTATATCACAGTCGAATGTCTTGACGATTTCACACTATCCTCTTTGTTACCACGGAGACTGTTGGGCTGCGACCGTGGGGCAGACTGCAACACACCATCATTGCCCGTTATCAGTACAGTGCCATAAAATTTCTCCTGTTCCTCCCTCTGTTTCTGGAATTCTTCTTCCAATTTCTGGATGGTAATTAAAACAAAAATAAAAATTAATATATAGAATGTTCAAAAATGTGTTTTCTCAATTCAGTGTTAAAAATTTAGAGACAAGATACACCTTCACTGATAGACTGATTCAAACAAATTTTAAAAAATCACTTAATTATAGCATTTCCTCATATTCTGTACGTTAATTTAGGACATATGAAATAATTTCTATATCGTTTTAGGCCATCTTCCCATTGTACTATTGTATAATAATTTTAAGCAATACATAGGCATAATTTTAATACTCATTACAATGATCTTTTGACTTTTTCATCAGTTAATTCAACATTGTTAGTACCAAACCAGCTAGATCTACCAATTCACTTTTACCAAAATTTCGATTCATTTGATTTGGTTAAATACAAAAAGGGATTTTCAAGGAGTTTTTATCCATTCCATAGAGTTCTGCTCAAAACCAACAGGATTGAACATAAGACATACAGTCCAAGTACCATCGACATCTATTGTTTCAGACACGCACATGCAAAGAACATTCAATTATTTATCAATGAATATTCATGTCATACTTAACCTAAGTACAATAATTAGTGTCAATTGTTTTTGAACTCTGAGGCATAATGACCTGAGATTTTAAGTTTGATCTTGGATCCTGTGTAAAAATTGCTATTATACTGTATTTTTTGATGTCTTATGTAGAATATATGGGGTACTAAATCAGGCTTAAATGTGTACAGGATCATGACATCTGGCTGAATAACAGTTTGATGTAAGTCAACTGAAAGCCCAGGAAAACTGTACAGCTACCAGAACATGTTTCAGATCACATGTGAACTGCTTATATGGTGTCTTAAAATTCATTCAAATTTTCAAAACAAAATAAAACTAATCAAAACAAAATAAAACCAATCATAGCAAACTAATTTCAATTCCATTGTTTAAGTTTTAAAGCTGGTTTCCAGTAAGTTTTCTCAAAAATCAAAACAATTTCATGAAACGTATCCAAAATCTATATATATCTGTATGTTTTGTTTTAATTTGATGTTATAACCATTCAAAATATGCATATTTCAAATTCTTGAATGTTTCAGTTTTGTCAAGTTTTCATTTTACTTTATTTTGTTCGGGAAACCATCTTTAACAATAGTTTGTTTTGCAAATGGCTGCTGAAATAAAAAATATTTTAAGTGTATTGTTAGCATATACTGACATGTTAATTTGAGGTGGGTTCTATTGAGGGGGTCTAACGGGACTGTTTACTCATTTACCCCTGAAATTTTATTATGAACTATTCCAACCTTTGAATTGGAAGAGTTCAAAGGTGTCTTCAGGGGTGAATGAGTTAATCTCCATGGAATTCATCAAACTGTCGGTATGTCCATAAGTTCATTTGCAAATAACCAAGTAGCACGGGAAATGAGCGTAGTGACAAAACCTAGTCGACATAACACGAGAGGTTTTTTTATATACACATATATATTAATAAATGTACAACCAAAATGTGACCTCTTGCTTTGATTTCTTAAACATTTACTTGACATATCTTTGAAACATGAGGCTAAATAAAACGAAGTCTTTTTTCCTCATATCTTTTTTTTTTAAAGTAACATTAAACATACTAATTTTGAAAACGAACAAAATGTTCTCACACAAGAGTCATATATCATGTAACAATTCGGAAACTTTCAACCAATAGCATGCGAGGAAGAAGTAGTCAACAGCTTCACCAGAAATTCGAGGAGTTACTTACGACTCTGTAAAATGACTTGTGATAGTAAATTTTGCTGAAATTCAGCCATAGTGAAAAATTGCATAAATGATATATATATTTTTTACATTTCATTTGTGTATTGTTTAAGTTCGATTGCTCCAATCCAGTTGTTCAAAATCACTTGAAAAATTTTTTTAATTTTTTTTTTATATTTTTATAATTTAATTTTTAGATAAATATGAAAATTTGTAGCAAATTGGTCAAATTTGAACAACAATGGATTGTCTCCCCTTTGTGGCAAAATTTAGCAATTGTACAATAATGTACATAATTGTAGTAATACAATTACTGTACTATGATTTGTGTACAAGATAGATCAATATAACTATGAGAAAGTTTTCTTTTGTTACAGTTATGTACTAGCACAAAAGAGGGTTTATAAAACAGCATACTGACATCATAACAAGTCAATACATGTAATTGTCCACTGTTGCTTATAACAGGGAGCACACATACAGGCTAGAAATATTTTTCAAAATTATTGATATGGACTCAAAAGAACTCGGCTATATTGAATAAATTACTGGCAATATGTTCTGACCAAAATGTTTAAAAAAAAATATGCATAACACACAGTTTTCAGATTATTGATATATATCTTTTATACAACACAGGTGCCAGTCACGTCAACCTTGATTAGTACATGGTATAAGGTGAAATTTGAATACGCAATATTTTAATAATTACCCAAATTTACAACAGAATTTAAATGTCCTGGGATTAAAATTTAAGTTTATCAGATACTTTACAATTACAATGTACAAATATATTTCTGCTGAAAAATGTAACTACTGAATTTGAAAATTTGAACATATCATTAAATTGAAATTACTATATATATACCCAGATATTGAGTCAGGCAAAAAAGCATTAAGTAAAAGGTTACATATGAAGTAATCAGTTAAGGTAGTGATAAATTGTTGCTCTCGAGTCATGTGTGAAGGTGGTTGATATCATGCTAGGCATCTGTGACAAATAATATTCCTGTGATGAACAAAGTTTTAAATTTTCAGAGACTTTGCTTTGCCATGAGTGTACATCATAAAATAGATGTATATTTTGGTACAAGTGCAAAATTCACAAAACTACCAAGTAAATAAACCTACACTTTATTTCACAACTTGATAAACATTATAGAAATGTGAAAAGATTTTTTAAAGAAGAATCCAAATGGAATGTCATTCAAAATAGGTTACAAACAGTCTAAAACATCATTTAAAATGCAACATTATACTAAGCCAGGTGTTTGATATAAATAATAAAATAAGTGAGAAATTATTGTGTGATCAGTGCTGGAATTACATAGGTAACAGCTTCTCCATTTCCTGTTCATAATTCTCCACTGAAATGGTTCAAATTCATTCTTAATTTTCTCGCAGCTATTATCTCTCTTATAAATGTATTTCTTTGGTGTCCTTCCTCAACCTATGTGAGTACAGCTATATATCCAATTTCAATTGCAGCAGAGTTGTTATAATTAACTGTCTTCTTCATGAACATGTTATGCCTTCATTTTCCATATTTATTTCCGACTGATACACATTTTTATTGATCACTTTTTTGTTAGTTTTTTCCCCCCTTGAATTTAGGAAAATGCTTATTTAATTTGACCTTAAAATTCCATCTGATTTTATAAGCACCCCTCACTTGAAAAATGTGTCTATTACGTAATTTTGAGAATTTGGGAAATTCTGCAATCATATGGCTTCCCTGGGTTTTTTTTAGTTTCTAAGGTAGATAACTGTAACACAAATTATGGGTACAATTTTGAAGATTATCTCCCCTTGAACAGTAACAAAGCACACTAAAATGTTGTTAATTAATAAAGTTAGATAGATTATAATATACTTTACTGTCAGACCAAGACACAATACATTATATGCATGCCATATGAATGACATTCAATGCATTGATAATAATATATATGGCATTCCCAAACACTTTAGAAAGCTTGACAATCACATAACGAAAACAGGTTGAAAGAAGTACTTGATTATAAAAAGAAATATATATTTTGCAAACTTAAGATAAAAAAATTGTTACTTTTCTATTCGGATTTATGCCCCCTACACTTGCTTCATTTGTCTTTACTTGCCTCTCCTCCAGTTTGCTTGCCACTTGTTGACTTTAATTCGATTAAAAACATTAAGATTTTGTTTTAATATGTAAGGAAGGAAATTTGTTCTTTTCTTTCAAAACTACAATTTTCTTTTCTCTATTGAAATAACATAGTTCACAAAACAATCAGGAGTTAAACGACATAAAACCTGAGACTATCAGACACTTTTCCCAATGCCAATAGTCAATTGTGACGTCCTGAAATCTCCTAAAAAGATATGGCTCCTAGGTGAGAAGACTATGAAGACCAATTATACACCACAAGCGAAAATTTAAAAACAAATAAGGCGAAAGCAGAGTAAACAACAATAAAGAAAAAAAACGTTATAGAGATTTGATACTTCTTTCAACCCTATACTACAGATTAGACAATAGAAGATGTCTGTACCTGTTTTCTAGGTGTGAGCTGGTTCTTCCACTCCCGGAGCTCGTTAGCATACTGATCATCCAGCTCCTTGATCTTCTGTGTCTCGTGTTCCATCAACATCTTTCTTTTCTCCGCCTACAGGTAAATGAATAATGAAACACTTGAATATAATATAAAATTCCTTCATACATTTTGTACATACTGGTATTTAAAAAAAAATTATCTCCTGAACGAAAGCAAAATGAAACTGTAGAGATATTCAGAAGGTAAGGCAGAAGTCGCTTATAAAAGACTGAAGTACTTTTGTATATTTGTAAGACAAATTAGCAATGAATGAAGCCTGTCACTGGACAAACATATATAAACCCTCAGGGATGAGATTTCTCAAACCCACACACTAGGGAGTGATATATTCCTTGAGTTGTTGGAATTAGATGTTTTGAGAGTTTGGTGCCCTGTCAGACTGAGAGTTGGTACCTGTAGGGCCTCCAGTTCTCGTAGACTGGTGTCATTCCTAAACACTAGTTCCTCCCACTGGCGTTTGTGTTTCTGTTCCTGCCGCTGTTGTTCTGCCTTCATCCGCTTTTTCTCATTCTCCTCAAACTGTAACACCAAGTGTTAAACTCAAATTTAAAATATACACTTTTTTTTATCTTACAACAATTATGAAACAAGTTTTTACAACTTATATTAATCACTTTTGTTGGCCTGGGTGTTGGTCTTAATGTGGGAGGAAACCAGAGTACCTGGAGAAAACCCATGTTGCGGGTTAGGTGACCCCATACCTTTTCAACTTCAATTGCGGAATCAACAAGAGGCCCATGGGCCTAAACGGTCACCTGAGTCTACAGTATTCATTTTTGTTGCTGAAATACGTACCAATTTGAGTAAAAAATAGTATAATGTTAACTTAACTTTGTCAGGACCATGAGCTGATCATTCCTACAAACTTTCAGTTCAATCGGTCCAGCAGAACTTGACTTTAAGTTTGAAATGTAAAATGTTAACGGACGACGGACGACGGACGACGACGGACGAAAACGGATAGCAATAGGTCACTTGAGCTAAAGCTCAGGTGACCTAAAAAGGCAAGTGCACTATCCACTGCGCCACCTGATCACCCAAATGTAAGAATCTCATCAAATAATCATCAAATTCTTCTCAATCATGAAAACAAAATTACATCACAACCAATTTGATGTGGACATAGTAAACTATTAAGTGCTTATCTGGATTTTTAGCTAATTTCTGTTACCTGTAGATGGTTGCAATGACCTTGACATGTACAGGGACCATGACATGTGCAGTGACCTAGACAATCATGTACAGTGACCCTGACATAACAGTGACCTTGACTGACCTGTTTCATCTTTGCACGGTCGTCTTCTGGTGACCCAATGGTGCTAAGGCGTAAGCTCTGTTTGAACATGTTGGCACGCGTCTTGGCCTCGCTTTTTAAGATTTTCGGGAGACGTTTCTTCTCGAGTGTGTGTCGACTCTGCATCTCCTCCTCCTTAGTGGTGTTACTCCGTTTCATCTGCTCCACTTCCTGTTAACGTAATTCAACAACAGAATAAGCTACCCGGAAATATTCTCTTAGCTAGAATGGCAAAGATGGTAAGCTAGATATTACATAACACCTTAGCTTTCAATTCTTATTAGGAGCTTTTATTCGAAAATTTCACTAAGCCACCTGGCAAAAGGTTATATCAAGGAATATTAATAAAATAAAAATAAATCTTATTTCAAACTGATTATATATCTTTCACATTCTACTGTGTACTGGAAAACTTTCGCTCAGTCAAACATTACGTCGGTAAAAACCATATTCACCCCGTGTTAACTTCTCCCTTCAGATTTGATTATTGTGTTTATTATATTGTTTATTAATGATTTCTGTAATTATAATTTTCCTTCATTACGGAGGGTGAAAAAGGCAAAAGCTGAACTGCAGTGAAAATTCACGATATCAAGTACACATAGTTACATGGTATTTCTAATAGGATTTTTAGTTTGTAATCCTTCTGTAACAGAGATACATACCGCATCCAGATAGCATACAACCTTAAAAGATACATGCTATTTACAACAGTTTGTAATACTTAAAAGGTTAATTTTTTAATTAACCATGGAATTTTGAATCATTTTAAGTTTTGAATCACCAAAAGCAACTCGGTTAAGACTCTTCCCATCTTGGATGCTAGAGTTATCTACCTTTTGATGGCGTGTCAGCATCTGGTGGCGCTTCAGGAAGAACATGTCTTTGAGTTGACTTTTAGCAAGTTGATGTTTTTCATGGAGTTGCTGTTTTTCTGTCTCCCAGATGACTGACTCCCGTGCTGTAGGAAAATGATATAAACATTTTGTGAACACATATACAGGTACATGTATATATATATTTATGAAAACATTATGACACCAAGGATTTTGTAAATGCTAACACAATCAAAGTTTTAGTGAGAGTTGCTCTACATGGCTTATTCATGTATCTAAATTCTAAAATATGGTAACCACTAAGATTACTGGTAAATTTCAGTATTACCACTTAAAATGAATTACCGCTGAAACAAGATTACCAGGGTACTAAATACTAATATAAAATAACCATCAAAATATGTACATTTTCAGTATTGTCCTGATTATGATGTGACAATATTAACACCAGTGTAATATCACTTATGATATGACAAAATATTCCGGCAAGTATAATGCGTAATGCAATGGTTATGTGAAATATTATAGGATGCGGAAGTAAAAAGCTGTCATCTTACAGCCACGATACCATCAAGAAAAGAGCCCATACTGACAGGATATGTCAGATACCGCTGACACACTCATTCACTTACATCGGAGGAGCTGCTGTTTCTGCTGAAGGAACTGACTCTCCAGGAGGGCCACCTTCTGACGATGAGTATCTGATAACTGTTTCATGTGCTTCTCCATTCGTTCCTGCTGGTTCTCAAAGAACTGTCGCTCCTGTTAACAAGTAACAAACAGAAATCAGTTTAAAACAATAAGTTACATCATGTCTACCTGGTTAAGACTATATGCTACCTTGCATATTGTATGATCTGTGATTTTTACCACATCTTTAAATATACTGAACTCTGACCCCTTACCTTTTTCACTAGCCATTTGACCCCTGCGCTATTCACTATCGATTTCACCCCTGTACTTTTCCACCTTCCTTGAAACCTGACACTCACTTTTCATTTGACCTCTCAAAATGTTCACCCTCTATGACTCTTGATATTTCTTTTTCAATGAGACTTCTAAACATTTGAACTTTCTTAAATTACTTTTCTTTTATTGTTTTTTTTTACATTGATATAATATGACAATTCCAACCATTCCAGTTCTATTCCGATTCAATTTGACCCCTATTTAGTACCCCAACTCTCTCACTACCATTTTACCCCTGAACCTTGTCACCTATTTAGTACCCCCACTCTCTCACTACCATTTTACCCCTGGACCATGTCACCTATTTAGTACCCCCACTCTCTCACTACCATTTTACCCCGGAACCTTGTCACCTATTTAGTACCCCCACTCTCTCACTACCATTTTACTCCTGAACCTTGTCAAATATTTAGTACCCCCACTCTCTCACTACCATTTTACCCCGGAACCTTGTCACCTATTTAGTACCCCAACTCTCTCACTACCATTTTACCCCTGAACCTGTCACCTATTTAGTACCCCAGCTCTCTCACTACCATTTTACCCCTGAGCCTTGTCACCTATTTAGTACCCCAACTCTCTCACTTCCATTTGACCCCTGAACCTTGTCACCTATTTTATTTAGTACCCCAACTCTCTTACTACTATTTTACCCCTGAACCTTGTCACCTATTTAGTATCCCACCTCTCTCACTACCATTTTACCCCTGAACCTGTCACCTATTTAGTACCCCAGCTCTCTCACTACCATTTTACCCCTGAGCCTTGTCACCTATTTAGTACCCCAACTCTCTCACTGCCATTTTACCCCTGAACCTTGTCACCTATTTAGTAGTCCCACTCTCTCACTACCATTTTACCCCTGAACCTTGTCATCTATTTAGTACCCCAACTCTCTCACTACCATTTGACCCCTGAACCTTGTCACCAATTTAGTACCCCAACTCTCTCACTACCATTTGACCCCTGAACCTTGTCACCAATTTAGTACCCCAACTCTCTCACTACCATTTGACCCCTGAACCTTGTCACCAATTTAGTACCCCAACTCTCTCACTACCATTTGACCCCTGAACCTTGTCACCAATTTAGTACCCCAACTCTCTCACTACCATTTGACCCCTGAACCTTGTCACCAATTTAGTACCCCAACTCTCTCACTACCATTTGACCCCTGAACCTTGTCACCTATTTAGTACCCCCGCTCTCTCACTACCATTTTTCCCCTGAACCTTGTCACCTATTTAGTACCCCAACTCTCTCACTTCCATTTGACCCCTGAACCTTGTCACCTATTTTATTTAGTACCCCAACTCTCTTACTACTATTTTACCCCTGAACCTTGTCACCTATTTAGTATCCCACCTCTCTCACTACCATTTTACCCCTGAACCTGTCACCTATTTAGTACCCCAACTCTCTCACTACCATTTGACCCCTGAACCTTGTCGACTATTTAGTACCCCCACTCTCTCACTACCATTTTACCCCGGAACCTTGTCACCTATTTAGTACCCCCACTCTCCCACTACCATTTTACCCCTGAACCTGTCACCTATTTAGTACCCCAACTCTCTCACTACCATTTGACCCCTGAACCTTGTCGACTATTTAGTACCCCCACTCTCTCACTACCATTTTACCCCGGAACCTTGTCACCTATTTAGTACCCCAACTCTCTCACTTCCATTTGACCCCTGAACCTTGTCACCTATTTTATTTAGTACCCCAACTCTCTTACTACTATTTTACCCCTGAACCTTGTCACCTATTTAGTATCCCAACTCTCTCACTACCATTTTACCCCTGAACCTGTCACCTATTTAGTACCCCAACTCTCTCACTACCATTTTATCCTTAAACTTTTCCACATTCTATGTAAGCTGAGTTTCACTTTTCATTCAACTTTTGAAAATGTTCACGTTCTATGACCCCTGACCTTTCAATTAGACTTCTGAAGATTTTTACTTTTTATAACATCTAACCCATATATCAACTAAATATTTGATAAAGCTTCTGAACCTCTTCAAATTCTATGAACTTCATTTAACCCCTGACCTTTTCAACGTCAATGACCCTTGAATCTTCCCATCTTTTATTATTGAACTTTTTTAAACTCTTCCTCCATTACCCATCAACTGTTTGACTAATCACTTTAACTCATCGACCCCAGGAGACACTTTTGAGCTCTTCCAATTCAAAGGTTGGAATGGTTCATTATAAAATTTCAGGGGTGAATGAGTTAAAGATCTCACATCTTTTACTTTTAATAATTCCAGAACCTTTAGTCATCCATAACAAAACTCTTTGAGCTAGGATTCCATTTGACCTAAGACCCCATTATGACCTTGACCTACTTTTTCCGCCAGCTCAATCTCTTTCTGGTCCTTCCTCTTCCTCACACTCTCCTTTTTATTGTCCTTGGGCATGAGGTCTAGTTCCTGTTTCAGCAACTTCATCTCCTGTTTCTGCTGTTCCTTGAAAGTTTTGTATTCCTTTTCCTGTTACAGAGAGGAAAACATGTGAAAAACAAAGTCTTGGTAGAGTCTTTGTACATTCTGTAACTCAAATAGAATTGTAACGCTATCTAAAAGCTTTGATGGAGAGCTTTACAAAATCAAAATACTGTTCTTATCCAAAATCTTTGACAGAAATGAAATAAAAAAGTTAAAAATCTGACAGGTTTTTTTATCCAGAAATGATAGATATGACAAACAGGAATTATCAAAATTTGCGTAAAAAAGGAATTATCAAATATCAAATACGAGTTAAAATTCAAATATTTATAGCAGTCAGATGCACAAAGTGTTAAAGTTTGTGCACACAATTTTGAGATGAAAAAATAATTAATATAACGAATTCAATGAATCCTGGATCTTCATTAATAAAAATTTTGATGAAAACAAATCATTTTGAAATACATTTTCCAACAAATTACCCTCTTTTATCCAGCCTATCAGAATCTTAAACAGACAAATAAAATACTTTTTCTTTCCCGACATAGTTATTTTCTAGAAATTATGTTTCAAGTGAACAGCTCACTTCTGATCTGTAAAAGGTCATACATTTTCAATAATATCGACAGGGATAGCAACTGATTGGCAGTGTAAAACATTCTGCAATTTACTCAAAGACTGCTTTTCTACCATAATAGTTCCATCATACTCCCATACCAAACTGCCCATGTTCCAATAATTGTATTGTTTGACTGGATATAGAAAAATTTCATTAAAATGTTACCTGTTCCAGTTTGATACGTTTGCCGGCGGACTTCATGTCCATCTGTTGAGTGGTTTCTGCCCTCTCCACCTGCTGTTTCTGTTGTTTTGTCAGAGTCTCCATATCCTGGTCATAGTTCTGCACCAATTTCTGGTTTAAAATATAGGGAGAAATTGATTAAATTCCATATAAGGAGAAATCAGACACACAAGGAAAGTGATGGCGCTAGTGGAGAATGTGCAATTCTACATTTAGCAAACTTCGTAGTGTACTCGATCTCCTAGATACCAGCGTTACCTAAGGCATGTGTCAAAAACTGAAGAAAGCATTTCAATAGATTATTTCCTGATTTTTTCATTGACAGTTAATATAAATAAGTTCTGTAATACCGTACTTACTACAGTTACCTCAATACCTATACACTGACAAAGTATTGTGTTAAACTTGAAGCATCTGCATTTTGAAACATTTTTGAAGGGGTGAAGTTCAATAGTACAGGTTCTAGTGCAAAGCATCCACGATATCCAGGGGTTACCCTCACTTTCGCTCTCTACACCCCTGGAATCATCCTCGATATCCAGGGGTTACCTTCACTTTCGCTATCTACACCCCTGGAATCATCCTCGATATCCAGGGGCTACCCTCACTTTCGCTCTCTACACCCCTGGAATCATCCTCGATATTCAGGGATTATGCTCACTTTCGCTCTCTACACCCCTTGAATATGTCATAGCAAAATTGAAGGCTCGGTGTACCCCACCTGTTGATGAGGCAAGACCAGTTCGATCCTTTGATGTACATCAAAAGAATGTTGCGGTCACCTAATGGTAAAAATTGACAGGCTTTGAAGTCGGGCGTCTCTCCTTTGTAATATTCAAAGGGCAGGTATCAGCCTAGCGATTGGTCAGTTTTTTCCCCCTGAGACCAATTGAATAGCTATCTTAGTGCCTTCAATTCTGCTATGACATATTCCAGGGGTGTAGAGAGCGAAAGTGAACGTAACCCCTGAATATCGAGGATGAGTGCAAAGATGAGAAATCACAATTGCACCTTCCAATTCATAAAGCAAATTTCGTTAACACCACTTCCAAACGCAAAAACAAGAAATTTCACACTACTACTAGCCATACAGAAAGAGGAACACCAACCTGCATGTCTGTGTCGAAGCGACGCTCCTGTCCCTCCCGTGCACATTGTGCCTTGTATAGCAAGTCCTGGTACTGTTTATTCTCCTGCTTCTGGAGCATCTTCAGCTCCCGCAGGTCCTGCTTCCTGTAACACAAGGGGGATAACTCCATCAGTACAATTATTTTTAAAACAAGAAGATAAAGGCTTTTATAATCTTGAAGACTGCATGCAAAATTAATGGTTATCCAGGATTCTTGGAGTCAGAATACATGTTTCCATCTGGAAAGTTTTTCACAAAAGAATCTTCCCAGCATATTCACCGTCATGTAATCACTTATACAGCTGGGTAGACAATAAAAACAAATTATTATTATGACAAAGATAACAATTCTGACAGAGTCAAAGTCTTGTATAAGCTTAAAATCAGCAGCAGAATGTTCTACCATGGAACTGTAACAGACAAAAGATGTAGACAAAACTTCCTAAACACAGATATCGTAACAGACAAAAGATGTAGACAAAACTTCCTAAACACGGATATCGTAACAGAAAAAAACTACACTTATAAAGGAAATAATAAAAGAAAAGATACCATTATTTAAGGATGAAAATATATGAATATTCAAAAATAGAAGTTTCAGTGCAAGCAGAGTTCAGAATCAATGGGAATTACACTAAGGCATAACACAATCAGAGTTCAGAACCAAGGGGAATTACACTAAGGCATAACACAATCAGAGTTCAGAATCAATGGGAATTACACTAAGGCATAACACAATCAGAGTTCAGAATCAAGGGAAATTACACTAAGGCATAACACAATCAGAGTTCAGAATCAATGGGAATTACGCTATCTATACAAAATATCCAAGGTACAAGTTGTTCAAGCTGTTAACACAAATGATAGTACACAAGGAAAATAATACTACATATAAAATGGGAGATAACTCTGCCAGTGCTCTGACAGACTGATAATAAATCAAATATATTGATTTAACCCATTCACCCTTGAAATCACATTTGAACCTTACCAAATAAAAGACTAGGTAAGACCAGTTTAAATATGTAGGGGTGAATGAGTTTATGAGAAATGGTCACTGAAGGATGCTAAAGATTTGTCTGAAAAATAATCCAATTCTTCAATGACATGATTATTCTAGAGTAATGCGGTTTAAAGGCTTTAACGATTATTAAGTACCAGCTAGACAACAGGGAAAATTAACTGTAACACAAATAGTTTGTGTTCTATCACGAACACCCGGGAAACCACTCCATACAGTGTACACGATTCTAACAACCTTAATATTGATAAAACATTACCAGGAGCTGATAAGATAATGCAATCGAAATAATTACGTAGCATCATAAATAAGCGTTTAGCGAGAGATATGGGGTGGTTTGTCTCCCTAACCAAGAATTCAATACTCCAAACTGTTAGACACTGAACTGAGTAGGTGGAGCAGGTAATAGACTTTCACAGCCTCGCTAATATAATCAATTGTATAATATAACATCCTTCCACAACTACACTGTAATGATTTACGTTCAAATGAAATCTACGCTACTGAAGGAAGGCACTGCTGTTTGTAAAATCTTGTTTCAACAGCATTTGAGCCCTAAAGCGCTGGTTACAAGGCCTGGTTTGACATAGGGGCAACCAGTATCAAATGTCTATACAGGGTCTTAAGTGTTCTGTATAGATACTGTTAGTTATTTATCTTATGGCAACGATTGTAATATTTCCCTCAAAATAAAACCAAATAGAAAACCTTCTTTTCGTTAACATCTTTGCTATCAGATCTGACAAAACCTACTAAGCTTCAGTGTGGGTACATAATAACTTAAAAGTAATCTTTAAAATCATCCATGGAATTCAAGTTCAATATCATCACAAAACTTCAGATCAGCAAAATATAATAATTCAAAAATTTCAACCTTTTTTTTTCTGAAAACACATTTTCCTTTAATTTCTTGTCCAACAGAAAATATGATGTAAATTGGCATCTTATTTTACAGAGGGCTGTCCCAAAATCAACAATATATTAATCTACATATTCTAGTTAAAGCTATTAGCTCAACCAGGGCTGCCTGACAGGTGCCCTGGACTTATCATAGGACATATTTATTATGTGGTAACATATTTATAAGGCAAAAATGTCAGATAATTAGCCCACTCTATTGCAATTCAGTAAGAATTGGCATCAAATGATATTTCATTGTCCTGTAACATTACTCAGCCCTCCCTCTACTTTAAGTTGGGGATTATGTATTGGTCCCTTAACTCATTCACCCCTGAAATTTCATAATGAACTATTCCAACCTTTGAATTGGAAGAGTTCAAATGTGTCTTCAGGGGTGAATGAGTTAAGGGACTATTTTTTTTTTATATCATTAAAAGCATTCCTAAGATCATATTGCTGGTATACTTGTATAACTGTGAAAAATTATCATGGAAATCACATATTGATCTATTAATTTATACAGTGTAGAGACATTATGTAATGTTTATCAGTGCCCTGTAAATCTAGTGCTGACAATGGCTGCTGGAAGCTTCAGGCTGTGTCATTTTGTGTTTGCATAACAAAATTACAAATTCAAACAATAATTACAGTCTGGTAGAACAATTCTCAGTGGAAGGGTGGATTATAATGCTTTTAATTCATTCACCCCTGAAGTCACATTTGAACTCCTTCAATTCAAAGTTTGGAATAGTTCATTATGAAATTTCAGAGGTGAAAGAGTTGAACCTATCAAAAACAAAACCATGACAAAATTTCGAGACTACAGTTACGTACACATTGATCAGGGAATACCTTCATTCCTGTTGTACCGGACATCAAATATTAGATCAGACGATGTGTAGTCTGTTTGAACATTATCAATAATATCTAAAACATTATTTACCATTTCTGAAAGTAACCATTTGGTGGTTTTCACCTTTGTGGCCTAAATCCAATATATCAGAAATACCAAACAGGCACAGGACTCTGTATAAATACAGGTTCAATTAAAAATATGTATTTTTTCTAAATATTATGTTAATTTTTCATTAACAATATCTTAATTCATCACTTAAGTTACAGATTCTGCAGCTTTATATCTGCCTTTAATATTCCAAGTAAGGAGATATATGTACAAATGAACATATACATTGTGATTATGTAGGAAAACATCTCGCATTTCAAATCTATTGAGTTGCCTATTTGCAGTGCAATATCTTATAACAAGGAATCTCACTGAAAGTATTGATTTTAGGTTTTTGACACTATATTCCCACAAAAACAAAGTGAAAATTCCACAACAGCAAAATAACACTATATCTCTGCATAACAATCTGATCCTTAGACTTTATGTCTGACCTGTTGAAGAAAATTTATTCTGATCCGAACCGACGGAAAGCGACTCAAAGACGATGCTGCAGGCATGTTCAGTCGGGCAATGGGGAGCCAAGTATATTCTCATTCTCCTGCCAATTATTACACATTCCGTGGGGACCAACACAGTAGTTAGCATGAGTAGCGAGTCCTTCAAGGGGGGAATACATACAAATACTTCTAATACAGCTGCNGGGGGGGGGGGGGGGGGGGGGGGAGCACATACAAATTCCTCCTGTACAATTGCTGTCAGTATAATTGTAATACAGCAGATACATTCCTATGACAAATGAATTAGATTCTTTCCTGGAATATACAGCAGTTATTCATATGACAAATGACTTAAAAAGATTATTTTCCTGGAATATATTTATCTCCATTAAGTTCACATTGATATATATCAACATCAAGAAAATTTACTACCGTGGGGTAAGTCCTTCAAAAAGAAGAAATTGACAAGATTCTTTCATTTTCTCATACAAATGTAATGTGGGGTTAGTCCTTCCTATCAAAAAGAGGAAATAGACAAGATTCTGTTATTTCCTCATACCAATGTCATGAACAAATTTTCTTTATTTTTCTTTAAATATCCAGCGATTCAATCAGATCCTTTTTATACAAATCAATGTTGTCACCAGTGTAGTTCACTCTCACAGACTAGAAAACAATTCCTCGCTTTGTCCAAAACTGAATGATTTTCATTTTTTCAGTTCCAAATTCAAGGATATAAAGTTCTATGTGTGCTTTTACAATATACCGTAATTTTCACTGATATCTTGACCGATATTTCCAAAATAAGCTTTTGTGCATCTGAAACCTGGATTTGAGATTCTGAGATGGTTTCATGATCAAAGGACTTAGCTGACTTGATATAATTGAGCCGATTTCAATTTTGCAGTTAAAATTGTATAAATTCTTGTTAAACATGAATTGTTCCACATTTTATTTTTGGAAACTGATGTGACTGGACTATATACTATACTTGTTTCCATTTTCGATTTTTTTCATTTTTTTTTTTTCATGAAAACTTATTTATTTTTTCAATTTAGCGATAAAAGATTTTTACCTTTTTTTCAGTACGTCACTTTGGCTTATGGATATAGATGTATATTACAAAAGCTATTATTTAACTAGCTATACATACAACATAAACGAGCAGTGCCTTAATCTAATTCTAACAAAATAAAGAGGTTTTCAATCATTTGTTGGTATAAGACTCTGGCATATCAAATGCGTACGATCATTTGACGACCATTCTGACATAAAATATATTCATGGTCTGACCGACTACATGTACAAGCTATATTTACATACCATCTACAATCTACATCACACAAAAATGTCATAAAACGTCTCGGAACATAGTCAGCAAGTGGCATTTCCAAATGTTCCAGAGATTACCCGTCTGATCGATACAATCGGAACCTAAATGTGGGTGTTGTGTGTAACCATGGTGACGTAACTGTATGTCTGAGCGAAAACAATAGCTAATGTGTATAAATAAGTCACATGGTGTGTAATTTGGGGATATAAAAACATCATTGTTATTTATTGTAAACATGTTTTATACAATGGACAATGTTTTATGTTTTTTATTGTAAAAAGCACTAGAGCTCACTTGAAACTCAGTTCATGGCAGCACTAGTTAAAAGTATATTTCAAATCAATATTTTACAGTATTAAACAAATTGTTGCATTGAAAACATAATTTTTGCCATTTCATTTCTTTTTTTTTTAACAAAAAAAAATAATCAGAAAATAAAATGCAAG